TGGCATGAAAACATTAAAAAAAAACTATCCATGAAGACATTATAATGTGGCATAACACTCCAAGAGACTATCAAATGCACCTTTGAATAAATGTGTAGAAAATCTAATTCAAAATGGCTAAAGATGTTATAAAATAGTATAATAATTGCATTATAATGTGGCATAAAAATAACATATTTTAGGTGTCATTGTATTACCCCACACTTTAGACTTTGTTAATCCTCAAAGTAACCATAATTGAAATTCTACAACTCACTGAATACTCATTGATAACACTAGTTAGAGACCTGGCCAGTTGGCCGGTAGTATTTCCTCCATGTAATAAATAACAATTTTTTGAATCAAGATTTTCTTTATAGTAACTCCATCATCTCTCTCCAAAATTCATTTGCGAAATACTTCAATCTAAATATTGTTTTAGGGATAATTTTCGCACTCAATCTCGTATGTTGAGAGAGCTGTAACACTTTGAATGCATAACAAAAAGTACTACCTCTTGATAGAAGAATATAAATTTAAATATCTATCCAGGTTCTTTTAGTAATTATAGGTAACGTTTGTCGAAGATCTGTAACAATGCAACAAAAAAATCCTCTTGAAGATATGTCTTCATTATTTGGATTTTTCACATTCAAAATGCCCTTCAATGTTATGTTCATCAGCCATATGAGTTTCATCCGAAATAATAAGAGAGGTATTTTTTTATTTCTTCAAAAGAAGAACAACTTTTAACTAAATGATGCCACAAATGAAGATATAATCGGTCTTTATTTGATGGTCGACAGTTATATGATCATTTAGTAGAAACACTATCCTTTCTCATCTAAAACTTTTCAACTTTTCATTCCAAATGAATATTGAGGAAATTAAGAATTGTTTGTGCGGGAAAGCATATTGGATAAGTATATATTAAGGTACCTTGTAGTACAATTGTTGTTCAACCATTTCATATTTGTAGAACACTTTTTTCAAAATAAATACAAATTTATTGTCTTAACAAACACAGTTAATGCAATAAGATAATCTTGTATCTTAAATTTTTTTTTTTACAAATGCTCCAAGTAAGAGCTTCTGCTTTTACGTTATAAGAAATCACTTTTCAGCTTTGCAAAACCAAGCTTATAGAGGTATTTGGCCTCACTTCAGGTTTTGAAGTATAAAAGCACCTCTAAAAGTCAGGCCAAACATAGGCATAATCGATTAGGTTAATTAGATTGTATGTTGGTGTTGTTTAATTTTTTAAATTATTTATAGGCTGAACTGTAGGATCAAAGCCAATCGTTAAACTATGGTGTGTCGGTTCAACCGCACCTACCAGTGGATGTGAATTTTTTCTCACTATTAGTATTGTGTCAATTTTGGTACCAGTATCGATTTTTTGATCGGATCGCCGATACAGTACGTTCTCTCTGCCCATGAAAGAAACTCTTTAAATGTATATTGCATAATGTTTGTGTCCTAAAAGTATGAGCATGGATTTGCATCCATTACATTAACATTGATGTTTCAACACTAATGATATTTTTTTTATGAATAACACTAATGATAGTTGTTTCAGTTGTTCATTCTCCTCTAACAAAAATTTATTTTCCCCAGAAAAATGACATTATATACGAAACACATTAGGTGAATTATTGCTAACATCGAACTTAAGACGTCTCCAGCTTGCTTCAATCGACTTGATATAACAACAACCTAAAAACGATCTAATCTTGTTGATATAAACACAGTTATATTGTTCATTACTTAAATTGGTTTTGATTTTGTTTTTCATTACCGGTTAGATTAGATGTTAAAGTCGCAATTCCTCAGTCTTCGTGTTTGTTCGTATATTTAAACAAATACTTGACTGCCCCAAACAAAATATTAGCCGTAGGAATGTTGATTATTCTCCCACATTGGTTTTGTATTATATATAGAGCACATTTCATTCTTGCACACATTTTGCATTGAATTTTGTCTTGACCACACTAGTCGAGAGTGAGTGATTCATTTTTCATATTATATACCGGTGAGGACCTAGATTGCTTAGTCTTGATTCCGATGTCTTGAATTTTATAAATGAGGTGACTGTTTTGAATGAGTGGTTGAGTCGAGTCTATGTTGGTCAGTGAAGAGAAGGAAGATTCTTCCTCTACCTAGTTTTGTTGCACTCGAATGTCATCTGTGGTGGTTGTCCAGGTTGTTGTTGTTATTCGTGTGTTGATGTCTAAAAGCCAGTATGATTCACATGTTTTGTGCCTATATGATATACCCTCACAGTTTGCATGGTCGAAACGTTTTAAGATGCCTTGTATCTAACTTGGTTCGCTTGGGGACAAGGAAACGGTTAAGTGTGGGGGATTTGATGACTCGATATTTGCACATGTTTTTGTCCACCATTCTTATTATGTGTGAGGCTCATTTTTCATGTTTTAAACCGATTTCACGCTAGGTTGTTCTTGTTAGTGACATTTAAGGTCTTAGTACGTGATTGAAGGGTTGGGCACGAGTTTGGGGTCGATTGGACGAAGTTAGAACGTTTGACGGAAAGCTGAGGAATATACACAGCTTGCTCATAAATTTACGCGGCTGGGTGGTCCAACCGTACACCTGGGACTACGCAACCCGGGTCGTACTAGCCGTGTTAGGGCACCCTTTGGCTGTGCGGGCTTTCCAGGATAGTTACACGGGCAGGGATGCATTCCACGCGGCCGTACATCCTGGCTGTGTGTCGACCACAAGCAACTAATCCGAGCGCTATGTTTTCGGAGTTACACAGGCAGGCACGGGATTCTACACGTCTGTGTGCTAGCTGTGTAATTGGGCAAATCTGGGTTTTAACCCAATTTCGGGTTTGTGAAGAACGGATCCAAGTTTTAGAGAAGAAAATAGAGAGTTAGAGAGAGAAAGTGACAAACCCATCCTCCAAGGTGACATAGATCGAGTTTTGACACCATTGGAGCTCGATTGAAGCCTGGAGAAGCACTGATTGACAACCAGAAGTTGAATTTCATCCTCTACATGATGATTTCTGCATCTTAAGCTGATTTCCTGTCTCTCTTTATGAAGTAAACTCCCTCTCTCACCTGGGTATGAAGAACCATAGAGTTGTATGTTAGGTTTAATTGATGAACCCAAGTACATGATATTTTGATACTAATTATATTCAATTGAGGCATGATTTCATAATTGCATGAGTCCTAATAACATTCTTGTAGTTTTTGCTTTGACCTAGAAAGAGAATTTCTGCATGGGTTGATAGAGCACCATTGATTGGAGGTGGTGAATTGACTACTTCACTCGAGAAGTCAGTTCACTACTCTATACTGGATTTGATCCGGCAGAGGAGGTTTTGCGCGTTAGGGCCTCCATTTATTTATTTCGATGGAGGTTAGTCGCCGGTCGGGTATTCAGGCTGGGAAGGTCTGAAGACCTTTAGTCAAGACTTCAGACTGAATAAGAACCTTCCGTTGTATAACTATTATTATATCTGAACTTGGTGAATTACAATTTGGCTTAACTGCAATTTAGGGGGAACCATATCCAGGTGACCTCTCTCGAACTTGAATCACAACATTACTGCTTTGTGTGTGTTTAGCTTAGATACAACCTCACTATGTTTAAACTGCTGAATAACGAGAAATTGACGGAGTAGTCATCACATTTAGGACCCGAATTGACAAATAAAGCTAAACCCGCTATACTACGCATTAGTTTTTGGTTACACTTGGTCACTTTCTAGTGTGCGGTATTGGCGAGTCAATCCTATAAAACAAAAACAACAAGGAGGTAATATCTTTCCAAAGTAATCTAACATAAGAGGTTAGTTTCTTTCAATTACTACCAAAAGTCCACGACAACGGCGCTAAAAACTTGAAGTAGTATATCGAATTATAAATCATAGGGTGTCCTAAGGTCGTATTCCACGTGGTCTTTTGATAGTAACTATGATCTAAATTATCAAGCATCATCCTCATTCATGTATGAATGGGTAGCTAATCCTCTCATACCTACCTAAAGGTGATGCCTCCTACTTGAGATTAGTATTCCTTTGTCTCCCACAATAATAGTATAACGACACTAAAGTAGCATCTAATAGAATCACAAGAGTTGATCTAAATTATCTAATAACAATAGCACCGAATAACATACACAATAAATGATACATGCATTAATTAACTCAACTATTATTGATAAAAATAATAAACACCATAGGCACAATCATCGAATTATTGAAAGTAATACATAAAGCATCATAAAGTCACTTCCCTAAAATTTCCAAACTACCTATGCATATGAGAATAGGAAGAAATCACCGATGATACAAGCATCAATAGTGAAAACCCCTCGTCGAGCTCCAGCATGGCTCTGCCTCCTCTCTACGGATTTCCAACTCGTGCGACTGGGGCAGAGTGCTGATAAAAGGTGTGTATGAAAACTCTATCCTAACTTCCAATTTATACTAGTTATAAAGGGGAGTTTTAGTCATTTTCCTCCTAAAGTTGGCGAAAACCCTTCTTATACGACTTGAACTCGAATTCCTTCAACTTGGGACAAAGTAAGGGCGTTCTAGAAGCTTCTCCAGAGTTAAGGCCTGAACGGCCGATCCATGGGGATTTGGGATGACGCTTCCTTTCCTCTTGGGCTTGGTTGCTTGACTCATAACCAACTTATCCTCTAAATTTGGGCGTGTTTTGACATTTAAAACTCTGGTTGGACCTCATTCAAAATTGGGCTTGCTACACTACACGATCTTATTGTTTTGGTCATAAAGTGAGTATTTGATGTCTCAATCCATCTCTATTTGAGCCCATGAGCTTCTATTCTTATCCTCCGTGTGATACATTGGGTCTCTTGGTGATCTATATTCTTATTGAGTGCAATATATCATTGAAAATCACAAAATTACGTTAAAAGGCGTAAAATAATATAAAACACACTCAAGATCTATCATCAGCTCATTATTCAAATAGTTATAAATTGCAAATGACCATGTTTATACATGTCAGGCCACCAAACTATCCAAGCTCTTTGGCATCATAGAAATGGCATTTGAGGTTCCCACTAGGGAGTTCTTGGTCTCTTTGGTGCTTCAGCCAACCATGACCACCACACTCATTTACATCTTCTATATCTGTAAAGGAACAGAGTTCAATGGTAGCTATATACGATAGCTTCGTGGAGAAGCTCAACATCCCTCCCGTGATCATCTCACTCTTGGGAGACTCTCCAACTCTCATCTGGTGCATCCAAGGAAGAAAAGAGAGAGTCTTCACGGTTTGTGGGCGCAAATTGCTATTCAGAAGACCTTCAGTCTAAGCAAGTCCCAGGTTGCTCATTGGCCACTTTCTAATAGTTCACTCTCCCTTTGCACAGGATTATGGGTGGCTTTTCCTTTTTACCCTGACTGGATAATTGTTGGGCCCATAATTGACCGGTATTGGACCTTAGGCCCAATAGAGGGATAGCCAGGCCCCGCCCAGTAGGAGGCCCGATGTGTGGCTTGCGGTCAGCCTAGAGACGGGACATGCGTAGGACACCTAACATAAAGTACTGATCGTGATAGGAGGAGATCTCTCCAAGAGACACATGCCTCAAAACAAGCAGGAATGAGGATCGATTAGCCGTCCTTGGCGGTTCTATTAAAGCAATACCTAGTTAGGACGCCTGACAGAGCATTTAATGCTATACACTCAGCCTAACTGGGTATAAATACCATGAGATCGACATTGATGGTAATGTCAACTACTTTCTCTCTCTAAACATAAACATACTTTCTTACTTCTCTATCTAACTTAAGCATTGGAGAGTGTCCTGCGCACCCGCCCCCAGACCCTTTTTTTGCAGTGGTCAGGAGTGCACCCAACATCAAGAACAGATGCCTCACTCCCTCCTCATCAAACCACCTAGAACATTCTAGGCTCAAAAAATTTGGAACCCACTGTAGGGCCGAGTGAAGCACTGAAGAAATGAAGGATGGGAGCTCCGGGGCCCCAGTGAAGGGTGTGGTAGAAAGAAGCAACATTCGCGGTTTGGAAATGCCCACTGTGGAGGAAGAGATCGAGATGGAAGACCGCGTCAAGAGCCAGGGGCAGCAAATATCCATCATGTAAGAGAGCCTTGGTAAGATTTTGGCAATGCTCATAGAAAAGGGCACGCCCGAAAAGGAAAAGGACTTGCCGGAAAGCTCGATAAGGCAGAAGACGAAGGGTAAGGAAAGGGAAGAGGATCCTGACAACCCTTCTCAAACAGAAGGCGAGGAGTCCGAAAAAGAGGAAAGAGTGGAAGATCTAAGTTTGAGTTTTCTAGAGGAGCACCTCAGGCTGTCGTATGAAAAAATAAAGGCACACAACAGCATACTCCAAAACCCCTTAGCCAAAAGCTTATTAAGGACACAGGTCCCGCCTAACTTATCGCCGCTGGGGCTGCCGACTTACGATGGGACTTCAGATCCTACGGACCATCTAAGCACCTTCATGCTCAAAATGCAATTGATCAACGCCGCTGACGTATATCTATGCAAGGCATTCCCAGTCACGTTTGGCGGTCAGTGTCGAACCTTGTACACCTCCCTACCAGAAGGGATAATTGAGAAGTTCGAACAGTTTGCCACGTTGTTTTCATCAAACTTTGCGTCCCAAAGAATAAGGAAGCTCGCCATATCAGCGCTTATCAACTGCAAGTAGGGAGGGATTGAGACGTCGCCGAGCTTTTACGATAGGTGGAACACTAGATCCTGCAAAGTGCAAGGAATCTCTCCAACCATAACGGAGGGTAACCTAGGAATGTCGAAGCATAGTTGTGAGCTAAAGAGAGCGCTTATAAAAAAGGAGCACTTGTTGAAGTCTTGGCCTGATCTTGATCACCTGCTAGAAGAAGTACTAATAGCGGAAGACGGAGTCATGCGCATCAACCCAGAGTTGAGAAAGGCGAGAAGAAAGGAGGAGGATCATCAAAGAGAAGAGGGCGCTCTCCAGAAAGGAGAAATTATAAGGCGCAATACTCCAACCACGATAACAGGCGCGAAGTGTTTACTACGGAAAAAGAAGAAAGGCGAGGGCAATGATGTAATACGAAGGAGGCGCACCAGACACATAGGGAAGAAGACAACCAGAAGTGGTGTGACTGGAACCAGATGCCCACTCACGACACCGCAGAGTGTCTCGAGTTCAAAGATAGCCTCAAATACCTAGGTCTTGGGGACCTGAAGAACCACTTAGATACCCGACCCAACTGCCATGAAAGAAGGCAGGAAAAGGAGAGTTTGCCGAGTCCCATAAGAAGATCTCACACACCAAGGCAAAAACGGTCGAGGTCACCGAGGAGGGAGCGGTCTCCACGTCGTGAACGCTTGCTGCCTCCGCCGAGAAGGTCTCCTCCCCGTCTACATGAAGATGATGTGGAGGTCATAACAATAGCAGGAGGGTGCAAATGCCCCAAAACGGAAGGGGACTGTCTAGTCTAGTGCTTGAATGTTCACGGGAGCGAACACGTGGAGATTAGCTTTGTGCCCTCAGAACTAGCAGCCGAAGAGTGTGGAGAAGGCCCACTGGTGATCTCTTTTCGAACAAGAAAGTTCAAAGTCACAAGGTCATTGGTAGATAACGGAAGCTCAGTAGATATCTTATTTTATTCCACACTCGTTGGATTCTCGGGCTCGAAAATCCAAGTGTTGGGCCTGATAACTTTGTAGGTGACGATAGGAGAAGCGGGAGTAACAAAAATATGCCTCATGGACTTCCAAGTGGCCGATTTCCCATCGGCCTACAATGCGATCCTAGGGCGTGGATTCCTGTCAACATTCTCAGCGGTCCCGTCCACATGTCATCAGATGCTCAAATTTCCCGCATGAGGAAATGTTGGACGCGTTCGGGGAAACACCCAACAGGAGAAGAGATGCTACCAAGCAACGATTGAGAGCTTGGAGGTCGACCAAGTTCATACATGAGGAAGCCACCCCCTCCCAGAATCGGCTGAAGAGGACGCAATGGTGGCCCTCAGCGAAGAAAAACCCGAAAGGAAAGTCAGAATCTCATCTCATCTCTCAGAAGAGAAGGCGCGGGAGCTGTTGGCGCTTCTCAAGGATTACAAAGATTTGTTTGCATGGTCCTCGGAGGACATGTCGGCCGTCTCTAGGGAGCTCGCTCAGCATCACTTGTCGATAAAAAGTAAGTCCAAGCCCATACAACAAAGAAGGAGAAATACCTCCTTGGAGAAGCAAATGGCATTGGAAGAGGAAGGGAGGCGGTTGATGTAGGCGGGGTTCATAAGGGAGGTCAAGTATCCAACGTGCTAGCAAACCCGGTGTTTGTCCGCAAAGCATCAAGATTGTGGCGAATGTGCATAGACTGTACAAACCTTAATGCGGCCTGCCCCAAGGACGCATACCCTCTCCCACGGATAGACCAGCTTATCGACGCAACCACCAACCATGAAAGTCTAAGCTTCCTGGATATGTTCTCCGGATACCACCAAATTTGATTATCCGAAGAAGATCAAGAGAAAACTGCTTTCATGACCCACATGAGAAACTTCTGCTACACAGTCATGCTCTTTGCACTGAAGAACGCGGGATCCACATATCAAAGAATGATAGACCCAGTCTTAAAGAAGAAGTTGGGAAGAAATGTGGAAATATACATCGACGACGTCCTCGTCAAAAGCAAAAAGGAGGGAGACCGCCTAAAAGAATTGAAGGAAACTTTCGAATCATTGAGAAGAGAGCGCCTACGGTTAAACCCGCTCAAGTGCGTCTTTGGAGCCAAGGAGGGAAAATTCCTGGGCTTTATGATCACTAGCAGGTGGATAGAAGCAAACCCAAAGCAAATAGAAGCCATAACCAACTTAAAATCGCCGAAGACGGTCAAGGAAATCCAGGCGTTCAACGGTGAAATGGCCGCCCTGAGCCGCTTTATCCCAAGGACAGCAGATAAGTCTTCCCCGTTCTTTCAAATGCTGAAAAAATTGGCGTCACGACTACAATGGATTGGTGAGTGCGACAAAGCTTTCTTCCAGCTAATAGAGAAACTAGCCTCACTGCCAGTTCTAAGCGCCCCGCTCTGAAATAAACCTATGTATCTTTACTTGCGTTCTGAATATAACCCCTTACCCTTCCCAGCGGACTCTCTACTCCAAACCCTTATAACCCCATTTACACACTCTCTTCGTATTTTACGGCAACAGCAACGGAGAGAAACCCCCACTCGGACGCTTCCTCTCTCTCTCTCTTATACTCAACAGCGCAGCGGAAGAAGCTTAAAAGAAAAACTAATCCCAGTTTCCCCGTACCACATCCCCAACTGGCGTCCCCAATCCTCTCTCCTCGAATCAGCGATGAACAGCACTAGCCTCGGACTCCCATCCCGCTGTCCCACCACGCCATCACCCTCGCTCGACGGTGGATACGCTAGAGGCGTACGAGACTCATCGGGAAGTCGCGACGGCGGTTCCGGCATAGCCGACCTCAACCAAACTAAAATCTTGGCATCATCGCGAAGAGGACGATCCCAGGAGCATCCCGTTCTTGACGAAACAGAATTTCGACGTCGGACGAGGGAGATACGAGTCCCGAGAGTTGGGGCGCAAATCTGATAATTTAGGTACTAATATCGTAAATTCAAAAAGTATAAGTACCATGGTGCTAATTCTGTTTCAGTCTGCGAGAAAATAGCCAGATTAGTCCCCCATATTATCAGTTAAATCAGCTTAGTCCCTACTGTTTTGGAAATTGACAATGGGCCAAAAACAGTACTTTATCAAGATTATGACTATTATAATTGTTTTAAAGTATATATTTTCTTGAGGTGATAATTTTATAAATAGTATAAAATCAAGAAAATGGTTGGGTATTAATCTGAGAAGTTTTGAAGTTGTTTTTCTATTTATAAAAATAGTTAGAAAAACGTTTTTTGGTAAATTAAAGTAGGTTACAAGCATTTTCGTCAGTTTTGGAATTTTTCCTAGAAGCTAGGCGCCGGTCTGGTTGTCCAGAAATTTGCGGGGAATTTTTGGCATCGTGCTGTTATTTTTAAAAATTAAAATGATAACCGGTTTAATCTATTTAATTACTGTATGAGTTATTTTTATTAGTTTGTTAATTTTGTTCAACACTAGAATTGTGGTTGCATGTGGTAAAATTAAAATCGAGAATTTTAGGCACTGTTAGTATAGATCTAAAATTCCATATTGGTAAAATTGAATAAGTAGAAGGAGTTATCAAGGTGTAAATTCTACTCGATAATTTTGGTTCATGTTTAGAGTTATTTTAAGTAATAATTTGGAGTTCTTTAGAAGTAAAATATGTTGAGAAATGTTTTAGACTTATTTATATGAGTTTTGAGCTGACAGTAGTAACTCTAGTCTTGGTAAGATTTGGGGGAAAATCACAGTATTTTAGAAAATTATTTCAAGAAGTTCAAGGCCTTTTTAAAGAATTTTGGGACTAAACTAGGAGGACGGAAAACTCTACGGAATACCGACTAAGAGTAATTAATCTCAATTGATAGGATTAAGGAAGCGATCGAGTTAAGGTTCTTCGCGTCCAACGAATTAAAGTATTTGCTTTTACTACGTGAAGGGGGTAAATTCTACACCTTACATGTTCAAGTATTTTCTTTACGTGAAGTGTGTGTGCACTGTTTGATTTATGATTGTGTTGATTATGCATGCTTCGATTTGAGTTATTGTTTGGAGCATTTCAATATCTACGTTTATGAATTTAAGTTTATGTTTTTACTACGGTTAAGAACGAGTATTTTTAATGCTTCATCATTTACTAAGTTATGGCGTTAAGAGTAAGACAAAGAGTCACGAGTAAAGATAGATAACCTCGCTTAGCTAGCCACTAGCTAGACAGATCCCTACCGGACGGTGATAAGTTCCGTGGTAGTTGATTACTACCAGATGGTGATACGTTCCTCGGTAGTTGGTCAGGCTTGGAGCCGGACGGTGATGAGTTCCGCGGTTTCCATTGCTTAGATTTAGGTGTGCTACCAGATGATGATACGTTCCGCGGTAGTCACGCCGTAGTTTGACATCGGATGGTGATTCGTTCCGCGGTGGTCAAACCCATTTGAGGGGCACCCCATTGTGAGGGTAGTCATGTTTAAGAAAGTAAGTAAGGCTAGTAGTGGCGCCAGTTAAGACGAGGTAGGGGCCCCAAAGTAAGCTAAAGGAATAAATAATACATTTTACAAGAGTTAAAGTGTGAAAGGCGAAAGTAGGAATCATTTTCACAAGTTTGTTGTGAGCTTCTGGAGAATAACCTTAGGCGTTTCAAGTTTAAGTAGGGCGTAGACTGACCCCAATTCACTCACCAGATCGTAGAGGAGGAGATCCTAACCAGCTAGTCCATGATCAGCAAGCTAGAGGAGCGCAACACCACCGTCTCTGAGAGATATCGAGCCAGGCGTCAGAGTAAGTATCGAAGAACTTCTTAAGTTATTAAGACTTTATGGTTAAGCGTTAAAGTCTGGAGATTTGTTTCCTTCTTTTCTTTTCATAATGCGATTTAAGTTTGGCTTATGTGTTTAGGGCTTAGCTTTGAGATATTAAGATATTTGAGTTTGGTATTTTATATAAAGTTGTGTTATTTGAGATTTTTAAATATGCCCAGGGGTAGAAATGTCTTTTTCCAAGTTCAAAGTAGTGGGATGTTTCACGCCTTTTCATCGATGGAGTCGCAGGAAAAGGAGGAGCAGGGGCAGGATTTGTTATCGAAACGCCCAAAGGAGGGATACATGAAATCTCACACAGGTTTCACGAACTGAAAACCAACAATTTAGCTGAGTGCGAGGCACTACTGAGCGGTTTGAGGATCACCATAAATTTGGGAGCCTCTCACTTACACATCTACTCTAACTCGCTGTTGGTAGTTAACCAGGTTATGGAAAATTACGAAGTAAACGAACAAGCTCTCGCAAAGTTGGCAGGAAAGGTCAAAGGCATCTTATCCCAGTTGGAAACCTTGAAGATGGAGCATATAAGGAGGGAGGATAGTCACCATGTCGACGCCCTATCAAAGCTGGCAACCGCAATGGATTTCGAGGGGGACCGCCAGGTAACCGTAACAAGGGAGGCTGGTTCTCGCTATGATGTAATGACCATGGATGACGAAATCCTCGACTGGCGTTCTCCGCTGGTCAACTACCTGCGAAGGGATGTGGTCCCCACAGACATTATCTTAGCCAAGGCACTAAGATGGAAGACGGCTCACTACACCATAGTCGAAGGGAAGTTGTGCAAAAGATCTTTCTCGTGTACGTACTTGAAGTGCCTTGGACAAGAAGAACCAAAATGGATAATAAAGTAAATCCACCAAGGCACTTGCGCGTCGCATTCTGTACCAAGGAGCCTTGAGAGACCGGTTCCACTACAAGGATACTACTAGCCAACAGTAAAAAGGGATGCGATGGAGGCGGTCAAAGGGTGTCACGAGTGCAAAGTCCATGCCAGCAAGCAACACATGCCAAGCAAGCAGTTGAAGAGCATCACAGGACCGTGTTCGTACACACAGTGGGGCCTAGATCTATTGGGACCATTCCCCACGGCTCCTATGGACAAGAAGTACTTGGTGGTCGACGTAGACTACTTCACAAAGTGGATAGAAGCAGAACCGCTCGACACAATCACAAGCATCAAGATCCAGAAGTTCCTGTTCAATAACATAATGATAAGGTTTGGAACGCCTCATACTATAATCACTGATCATGGTACGCAGTTTGATTGCAGACCGTTCAAGAACTTCTGTGCCAGAAATCGTATCATCTGCAGCATTGCGTCAGTGGCTTTCCCTCAAGCCAATGGACAGGTTGAATCGTCAAACAAGCTCATCTTTTGTGGACTAAAAATGAGGTTGAAGGATGCAAAAGGAGAGTGGACCGCGGAGTTACCCCACGTGCTCTGGGCCCATCGCACAAATTACAAACGAGCCACTAGGGAAACACCATTTGCACTGACATACGGTTCCGAGGCGGTTGCACCAACAGAGATGGCTCTCCCATCGCTTAGAGTCCAAATTTATGACCCCGAGGATAATCACAGGAAGGTACTCCATCAGCTGGACATGATCGAAAATGGTGGGACGCTGCACTAGTCAGAACCGTGAAAGGGAAATTGAGGGTGGCAAAGGCGTACAACGCCAAGGTAAGGCCCAGGCCTCTAGGAGAGGGCGGCATGGTCCTGAAAAGGAACTCCAAGGAAAAGGAGAGACATGGTGGGAAGGACCATTCCTCGTTAGGGCCGACAACATACGTATTGGCCACGATGGGAGGAAAGCATGTGGCAAAGACTTGGACAACATCCACCTGAAGAAGTACATCGGAAAATATGAAAAGGGAAAAATCGCATGGCCTCTCAACTTTTGCACAAATCATCACGATTGTAGCCTGCCATGTATTTTGTCAAGTTTTCCATGTAAGCCGAATTGTGGCTCCTAAGGGTAGCCAAAGGAGATTCGATCAATGTAACCGCCTCTGAGTGTTCATCTTTGTCAATCCCAGAATATTCCCAGAACCGCCTCTTAGCGTAAAACACAATATTGTATCTAACAATCTAAAACTGCCTCTCAGCGTAAAACACAAGATTATATCTAACAATCTAAAACCTCCTCTGAGCGTAAAACTCAAGATTTTATCTAACAATCTAAAACCGCCTCGGAGCGTAAAACACAAGATTGTATCAAACAATCTAAAATCGCCTCGGAGCGTAAAACACGAGATTGTATCTAACAATCTAAATCCGCCTCGGAGCGTAAAAACAAAATGGTACCTACAATTTAAACCACCTCAGAGCGTAAAACACAAGATTGTACCTACAATCTAAACAGCCTCGGAGCGTAACATTCAAGATTGTATCTAACAATCAAAAACCGCCTCGGAGCGTAAAACTCGATTGTATCTAACAATCTAAAATCGCCTCCAGACATAAAAACACAAGATTGTACCTGCAATCTAAACTACCTCTGAGTGGGAAACTCAAGGTTGTAGCTACAATCTATACCGCCTCGGAGCGTCGAGCTTTCAAGATTGTACCTAACAATCTAAACCACCTCGGAGCGTTGAACTATAAAACTGTGTTAAACAATCTAAAAACTGACTCGGAGCGTCAAGCACAAGATGTACATACAATCTCATAACGTCGGTTTCGACATTGTGCCTACAATCCAAACAGCTAACGAGTGTTTAGGCAAAATATCGTTCCCAAAAAAATATGAGCGACCTCTAGCAACATGATAATATTGCATAAATAAAGGCGTCGCAACGGACACACAAATTATCCACTGCCTTAGGGAAGATTTAGTTTTCAAAGCTTCCAAGGAAAAAAGAAAAATTACAAGCCAGATAACTGTGCCTCCTTAAGGTTGTTGGTCATTCTCTTCACCTTCAGCGGTCTCTTCACCTTCCGTGGTCCCTCCTTGAATACTGGTTTCTGGGGCGGCTGCCGTTGGAGTGGCAACATGCTCCGAATTCACGTCATCATCACTCCAGTACTCGACCGCATCCCATATTGGGTTCGTGTCCCACACAACCTTGGGACGCTCGCGGCGAAACCAGTAACGAATAGCGGCCACTGTATCTTTTAGCAACTTGTTGTACTTCGCCTCGTCAGCATCCCTGAACTCATCTGACGCCCAAAACACTGCCCTCGTCGATTCAAAAACTTTGAGCAGCTTAGTCTCGTGAGCTTCCTTCATCTCGGCCTTTTCCGTCCTAACATTGGACAGCTCCTCTTGCAAAGTATTTTCTCGAGTGGCTGAGTCGTGGACCTCCTTCCGCAACTGCTCTGCTCAGCGCCTCATTGGCAGATGCCAGCTCGGCGTCCTTCTCCTTCAGAGCGGTCTCTTGCTCTTTACGAATCTC